TTATAATTTAATTCCTTTGCCTGCACGTGAGATTGTAAATCTAGATGTTTAAAGGAGTTGCATGAGAGTGTTTAAAGAAACTTGGAGGAGAGCTATGACAAGTACCAGGATGTTGTGAATCGTCACCGTCGAGAGAAACTGTTCGCTATTGAAGTGTATTTGAGACCTAAAAGGTTTCCTGTTGGCACCTATGGGAAGCTCAAAGCCAGGAAGATTGGACCTTGTCAGATCAAAAAGAAGATTAGTAACAATGCTTATGAAGTGGAGCTACCGAGCAGATGGAATATCTCTCCAACCTTCAATGTTCAAGATCTATTCGTGTTCCATGTTGATGCCGACCCGACGGAGTCGAGTCTTCACCAACCGGGGGAGGATGATGCAAATTGAATTCAAAAATATTGATTCCTTCCAAACTGAATTCAAAAATATTGATTCCTTCCGAACTTTACTTTGAGGCATGGTTGTAGTTTTTTATTATTTATTTGTTGAATTGGGACTTAAGTATAAGGGGGCAACAAGAGAAATTATTTAGACAATTTGGTAAATTATCAATTTCTTTCTTTTATGGGAGTGACATGATTCTTTGTGAGAAGATGGATAGGTTAAAGTAGAAAGTAGATAAAGTTGAAAAGTAGAGAGAGATTTGTGGGGCCCACCTGACTTAGAGAGAGGTATATGTTAAAGTTAGTTAGAGACAACGAGGGGGAGAATGTTTTGGTGGGTTTAGTTGGTGTGTAAACAAAAGCGCTGGCACATGGCTCTTTAAGAGAGTTTTTTAGAGAGATGTTTCTTGAATGAAAGAAGAAAAGAGTATTTCTTCTCTTTGGCTTGAATTACAGCCACTCATTTATCTCCATTGTTGTTGATTTTGCTTGTGTTCCAAGATCAAAAGAAGGCTGGATTTAATTTCCTAGCTTCTTTCACACCAAGTGGTTGAGCCACAAAGATCTGATAAATGAGTGGCTGTAATGGAGAAAAATGAGTGGCTTTCGATCTTGAAACACAAGCAAAATCAGCAACAATAAAGATAAATGAGTGGTTGTAATTCAAGTCAAAGAGATAAAATATTTTTTTCTTCTTTCATTCAAAAAACATATCTAAAAAAAACCAAACTCCTTCCTAAAGAGGCAAGTACCACCCTTTTTTGTTTACACACCAACTAAACCCACCAAAAATTTCTCCCCCACTCTATCTCTCTAACCAACTTTAACATATATCTCTTTCTAAGTCACGTGGACCCCACAAATCTCTCTCTCAGCTTTTCAACTTTATCTACTTTCTACTTTAACTTAATCATCTTCCCTACAAAGAATCACGTCACTCCCATAAAAGTAGGAGATTAACCATCCTACCCAATTGTTTAAATAAATTCCCTTCTAGCCCCATTATCTTTAAGTCCCAATTCAACCAAAAAAATTACAACCATGCCCCAAAGTAAAATAAAGTTTGGAATAAATCAATTTTCCTAAATTCAATTTGCATCATCCCCCCCTGGTTGGAGAAGACTCGACTCCATCGGGTCGGCATCACCATGGAACACGAACAAATCTCGATTATTGAAGATTGGAGAGATATTCCATCCACTCGGTAGCTCCACTTCATAAGCATTGTCATTAATCTTCATTTTTATCCGACAAGGTCCAATCTTCCTAGCTTTGAGCCTCCCATAGACTCCAATAGGAAACTTTTTAGGTCTCAAATACACCATCAAAAGATCTCCAACATTGAACAGTTGCTCTCAACAGCAACGATTCACAACATCCTAGTATTTGTCATAACTCTCCAAGTTTCTTCAAACGCACTCATGCAACTCCATATATTCGGGCATGCTCACAGCATCAGGATCTACAGTCTAATGTACAGGTAAAGGAATTAAATCATGAATGTAAATGACACATACCATAAACCACTGTAAAAGGAGTCTTCCCAATAGAACAATTTGGAGAATTATAATAAGCAAATGCAGCTTACAATAACACCAAACCCGTTCTTTCACATTTTCTCCAACCAAACTCCTTGGCATGTTGCCCACACTTTTATTGATCACCTCAGTCTGGCCATCTGTCTATGGATGATAAACACTATTGAATTACAACTTAGTACCCATTTTTCCCCCATAAAGTCAGCCAAAAATGACTAAGGAAACGAATATCAAGGTTTGAAGTAATGGTCTTGGGAAGCCCATGCAAGCGCACTATCTCTTTAAAAAACAAAAGTAGCAACCATCATAGCATCTGTAGTCCTCTTACACGGTATAAAGTGTGTCATCGTAGAAATCGGTTCACCACCACCATAAAAAAATCATATCCTCGTGTTGTCCTAGGTAACCCCGCAATGAAATCCATGGATAAATCAACCCAAGGCCTAGTCGGCACAAATAATGGTGTGTAAAGGCCCGTGTTCTGAGAATGTCCCTCGGCCACCTCACGTACTTTGTGCCGTCAACAAGCAACATATATACTTACCCAAAAAAAACAAGGCGACATACATCCCTCCTCGTGCATGGCCAAAACTATCACTCCACCAAGTCATACGTCTTATCTCTGCCAAAACAACCACTAAAAGCCTCATTGATGCTCTCATACAAAAGTATCAAGAATACATAACCGTGCACCATAAAATGAATATCCATCAAATAAAGTGAACTAATAATAAGAGGAATGTTCGCCTGAACTACAATTTGAAATAATAGGCTGAAATATGGATCCTCCAAATATGCTCCCCGAATAGCTTCAAGACCCACCACATTTACACCAAGGTGCACAATAGGTATAAACGTCAACTTAGTGCATCTGCCACTCTATTCTGATCCCCTGACAGGTGCCGAATAGTGAACGTGAACTCTTGCAAGTAAGCCACCCACTTTGCATGTCGTGCACTAAGCCTCTTCTAGCTATTGATATGCTTCAATGCATCATGATCGGTAGATAGGATAAACTCTCGCTGCACCAAATAATGTCGCCAATGTCTTAAGGCTTGGACCACATCATGCATGAAATACTTTCTTCTTGCATCGAGTTTTTCACTAAAGAAAGTAACAGGCTTCTTCTCTTGACTGAACACTGCACCAATCCCCATGTGAGAAGCATCACATTCTACCACGAAAACCTTGTTGAAATCTAGCAATGCAAGCACTAGAGCATTCGTCATATTCTCTTTAACGGTGATAAAAGCTTTATTTACAGCTAAAGTCCAAAGGAAAGCTTTACCCCTCAAGCATTTGGTAACTGGAGCCATAATACTGCTGAAATGTCTAATGAACCTCCTATAAAATGTTAGAAAGTCCATGGAAACTTCGCACTTCTGTTACTGATATTGGAATCGACCACTCTACTAAAGCACGCACCTTCTCAGAATCTAGCTTCAACCCATATGAAGACACAACATAACCCAAAAGTAACAGGCTATTGGTTAAGAAGCTACAATTTTTAAGATGGATGTATAGCTTCTCAGCCCTTAGCACTGTTAGTATCTAGCAAAGATGATCAACATGAGAATTGACATCTATACTGTAAACAAGTATATCATCAAAATAAATCACTACAAATTTGCCAATAAAAGGTCATAACACCCGTGCCATCATGTGCTAGGCGCATTTGATAAGCCAAAAGGCATCACCAACCACTCATACAACCCAGTCTTTATCTTAAAAGTGATCTTCCACTCATCTCCTTCGCGTATGAGAATTTGATGGTAGCCACTTCTCAAGTCCATTTTTAAAATACAGAAGCCCCAACTAACATATCAAGCATATCATCTAAACGTGGAATTGGGAATCGGTATTTAGCTGTTATTTTATTAATTTCCTTGTTGTCTACACACATCCTCTATGATCCATCTTTCTAAGGGGTAAGCAAAACTGGAATTGCACATGAACTCATGCTAACCCTTATAAGCACCTGCGATCAGTAATAATGCAGTCCCTTATGATTCTCCCACCTTGGTTGTTCGAAATTTAGTAATCCTAAGTTAGTGAACCAATTGGGATCAGATCAAATAGAGAAGCAATAAGAGTCATAACTCATATATGTACGTTTAACTCTGGCATTTACTATTTGTTTGAATTTTAATCACTAATCAAAATAAAGATACTCCCACATGTTAAAATACCCTATAAAAGGCTATTGCATTTCCAGTTGTAGGTGAGCAGCATGGCTGCAATAGTCGGGACGGGGGAGTGCGATTGAATGGTTAGGATATGACAATTCCAACAGCCTAAGCCATGTTTGAATCACACTGTTATTTCACCACTAAAAAAAGTTATCACATGGTCCAATGGTACATGATATTCCAAAACTACATCTCTCAACATCAAGAACTGTTGGTTTAGGAGCAACAAAGCCCCAACTCTTATCTTGTTCAAACCCATCACACAAGGATGGAGTAAAAATGGGCAAAACAGTAATTGGTAAAAAATATTTGGCTATAATACGTAATTCATGAGGAAAATCGCCAGGGGACTCATGATGGCATGATTCCTTTGGAATTTCATATACCATGAGCGCCCCACTAACAAATGGTTGGAATAACTGTACTCAGGTGGCCATTCCAATCAGCCCGCTGATGAATGCTTAGAAATTAACTACACTCAGGTGGTCATTCTTGTGGGCCCCACTCTGGCTAATCTCCAACCATCCACCAATGGGAACAAATGGTGGATCTATCCATGCAGTATCATATAATATGACTATAATATCATTTTTCTTTAGGAATACACTTGGTAGCTGTAGCACAAGATACCTCAATGACATTTCACACTAAGGCTGAACATCAATGAGATATGAATTGAGCAAATCAAGTCTAGGAACAAATTGGATGAGCAAGAAAAATGTGTTCTTTATGTTCAGGTAAAGATAATTTCTCTAGTCCCTATTAATTAAACTAGAGCAACAGTGCAGTACTAGACCATAAGCTAAAAATTTCCGTCTCTCATTAAGAAAACAAATACAAATCTCAACGAATTAACACAAGAGGACACACAAATTGTATGCGAGAAGTACCTGGCCTTCTGTAGGTTCTTCAATTCACGGGTTAATTCTCTGATTGTCTCACCCTCCTGTAACATGCGGTGCTCCAAGTCCTTGAGACTATTCTGAGAAAGAGCAATTTCGCTCTCAACACGAAGAATTGCTCGTTTATGAGCAGCAATCTTGCGACTTCTATCTCGTTCAAAGCTATCCCACCAGTAAGGAGAAGAAATCAACAAAAACAGATAATAGTGAACAATTTATCTACAAGACAAAATTTAATTGTTACTGAGCAAAAAGCAATTTCACAACAGTCTGTATGGTACATAATGAGTTTTTACTATCAATCTTTTATTCAACTACTGAACTACATTTTTTTTATCAATAATCTTTTATTCAATTACATTGATATGCACGCTGATTCACTTATCCATATATCCAGAAGGGATATGATTACCTATTAATTTTTTAAATAGCAAAAATTCTGACTTCCAGTCATTTTCCCACATAGCCACGCCATAAAAACTGATAAATTTCAATCGAGTACTGAGCTTCCAAGTGAAATTCATGAGGTCCCACAACCATGGCTTTGAATTTTGAAAATTCAAAGAGAGCTTCCATGATTCCAATTTCCACTTTGTTGCACAAATTCATAATAAAAGTAATTTTTAATTGAAATCATAATAAAAAAACTGAAGATTAAAACCAGAAATCATGAGGAAAATAATGCATAATTACAGTTGGGTATTAAATTTTCCAAGTTAAATTAACTGAAGTCGTGTACCCAACGTCAGTGTAACATCAAAAATAGACATTGAAATGAAACCCATCAATGTGATGATAACCGGAAAAAAACTGTACTAGGAACTAAGATTCCATGTAAGACATTGATTAACGGGTTCAGTTTATGCACAAGGATATAGGGATTCCTGGTCTTGTAAATATATTTGGAAGAGCCATTAGACTATAGGGATTACCTGGTCTTGTAATTAGATTTGGAAGAGCCATTAGACTGTGAAGAAGATGGAAATTCTAGGGTTAGAATAACACTCCACAGGTCATTGTGGGCTGATAGTCTTTTGAATTGCTTGCAACTTATGGCAAGAGAGCAAAGATCCTTGAAACCCAGTATTTTTCTTTTCACACCAAGCTCGAATATCAAACTCCATATCTCATCTGGTAAATTCGCCATTCTTAATTAGACGAATGCATCTCAACCCTTATTTTGAAATCAAACCACTGTAAATTGGAGAAGTTAGCTTTATTGTTCTTTAATGGACATCACAAACCTGGAAAACAACTCCCTGCAAAACTAGACCCCAACTAAGAAATCAAAACCCAAATTTTGAAATCAAACCACTACAAATTGGTGGTGGTAAGCTTCACTGTTCCTAAAACCCTAAACCCAAAACCCCTAAACCCTTTATGGAGAACACAAAACCAAGATAAATATATATTTGCAACTCTCCAAGCCCCATAACCCTTACTCATCAAATAAACAGTAAAAACGTTAACGATGAATTCAAAAGACCGCCTGTAAATGTATCGAAAGCCTCCGAAGCTATTCAATCTGTACCCCAAATCCCAGAAACAGCAACTAACTCAATTAGGCTTCACATAATACAAGGTTCTTGTCAATGAAAAACTACACCAAAACCCTTGTTTTTGAATCAACCCTCACGTCTTAACTTCGATTCAAAACCCTAAAATCAGCTGCTCAGAATCTAGGAATTCTGCAAAAATCCGACTAATTTTCATAACAAATTAGGTTTTTTATGGAAAATATGGAGCTTCTTCGAGTATTCAGGGATTAAAAAGGGCTGGGTTGATATAAAATAATAGAAAAAATGGGTGAGGTTGGCACACAGGGTTACGAGGGTACGGTCTGTATAGAGTCGAGGCTCTAAACAATCAGAGTAAGCCAACTTTCAAATAGCGTTGAGAAATGTGGTTTCATTAGTGAAAGTCATTGAAATAGCCTTAAAATATATTTTTTTTTGTTTTTAATTATAACATTTAAAGCTTTAAAATGGTATAGATCGAGTATATCTTTGAAAATTTAAAAATCTTGAAAATTGATGGTTTAAAAATACGTTATAATATGTATTATTTTTGGAACTTGAAGTCTATTTTTTTCTCATGTACATGCATCTTGATGTGGATATGATCAATTTGTAGATATTCAAGAATCAAAAAACCTCTTGTAGTGAAATTTTTGAAGTAAGGTCTAAGATGATTGTTTAGAGTGCTCTATATAATTTTTTATCTATTTTTATTTCTAATTATAAAATTTTAAATTTAAAAATAATTCAAATCATACTAATCATAGAATTTTTTAAAATTGATAGTCCATATAATATGTTGCACGACGTACTATATTTTTAGACTTTTTATATATATATCCATACATCTCTTGTTGGAATGATTGGTTATATAATTTTCTAATATCAAAATAACTTTATTCAATGGAGTTTTGATGTGCATCTTAATTCTACAATTTAAGGTGTCAACCTTATACAAGCTTTTCCTAAAATAAAAACATCGAGGTTTGAGCAATAAACCCTCATGTTGTAGAATGGTACATGTCTAAATTTTGCTGGAGATGTTAGAAACCTCATGGTCTATTTTCTCGTGAACTTAAGACTTTGAAAATAGATCAGATCAGATAGATCTATAAACATTTGAAAATTTTGGAATAGAAGTTGATAAAACTTGTTATAAAATGTAGTATTTCTAAGATAATTTTTTGTCATATCCATAGATCTCGAGTTGAAATGATCAATGGGTGCAGTGAGCATACGAATGCATCCGTAGATATAGAGGTAAGGTGCACCTTCAAATTTTATTATGGCATATACTTTTGATGTAAAACGTTATTAGAATTATCTCAAAATCTATTTTTATATGTAATTATAAAATTTTAAATTTCAAATTTTTTTAAAATCAACTAGATCTATAAACATATGAAAAATATTGAAAATTGTCAGTTTAGATAATATGTTGTAAAATGCACTATTTATTAGACTTAAAATCATTTTATTTTTCATGGTCATACATATGTACTATTTATGAGACTTAAAATCATTTTATTTTTCATGGTCATACATCTCAATGTCGAGATGATCAATCAAAGGGTTTTTCAACATTAAAACTACCTTTTCGATGGATTTTCGAGGTGCATCCGTAGTTCTACATATAAAGTTGCAACCTTATATAAACTTTTTCCACAATCAATTGAAGGGTTGTCTAAGATAATCGATTGGAGGGTTTCTAGCACATAAGCAATGTCTTTTAACGGATGTTTTTGGTGAGTCAATATTACGCGCTGACGCCTTGTATAAACTTTTTCTTAAAGTAAAAGCCAAAGACCTTTCATACTCTTGCAGGTGCATACTATATATTTACTCATTTGGGTAAAATCTAATCTATTAGTAATTTTAAGATTTCAAATTTTAGGATGCAACCTCTTCATCTCAAATCCATATAATCATCATCCAAACGTTATCTCAATTATTTGGGGTCAACTACACTAATCTTGTTCTAACATTATGCTCTATAAAGACTCATATTAATCAAGCAGACATTCCGCTCTGTAAAGACTCATACTAATTAAGCAATAAATCACCATATATCTTCTCACAACTTCCAACCATAGCCTTTTGGGTCTTTCTCTTGTCTATTTGGAGCCTTGTGCTTTAACCAAACCACCTCTCAAACAATAAAACATTTCAAATTGCACTATTTATGTACTTTAAAAAAAGGGAAATTTACATAAATTTATTGTTTTGTTTTTAAATTTAAAAGTATCCATACATTTCATATTTTACATACATCCCATAATTTTAAGAGCATAAAGTGTATTTTAATTTATCCCTTTTTATATGCATCAAGTTAAGCTCAAAATTGCTATATCATATTTTTTACCATCATGCACTTATAAAAAAATATTTTTTAAATAAATTAAAATAACTATTATCAAAATACCCCTAAATATTGTAGAGATTATTTAGCGTTTGTTATTTTTAAAATATTGTTTACAAGTATGTGATGGTGAGAACTATAAACATATATCAATTTTCAGCATAATCAAATACACCGAAAAAAAGATAAAATTAAAATAGACTTTATATTCTAAAAAATCATGACTTAAGTGTAGAATATGATAAATATGAGCATTTTTTAATTAAAAAATGATTTTTTTCAAAAATATTTCGTAAAAAATCACCTCTCGAGATTGAAATGCCTAATTTTTTGAAGGTGTGATCTAATTGTTAAAAAACTTCAAATTTAAATTTTCAATTTTAAAATAATCATATAGTGATTCTTAAATTGCTCCTAAAATTTTAAATTCAATAAATCCTCACAAATAAGTGCTCTACCCAAGGGAGTAGATAGTAAGCTCCGATGGGAGCATGGTATATATGCTCTAAGTGCAATAGATGGTATGGTCCCATGTGAGTATAAATTCTGTTGCCATCAAATGGTGTAAACTTTGCTGCTCAAGTGTTTAAAAGTGTATCTTCACCATTATCTCATACTTGAAATGGTGTAAACTTTGCTGCTCAAGTGTTTAAAAGTGTATCTTCACCATTATCTCATACTTGAAATGAAGAATTAAGGTGCACGTCAAATATATATTGTAAAAGGTAGTTTTGGTGTTGAAACACACCCTAATTGATGATATCAACATCAAGATATATATGAATATGAAAAGAAAAAAAGATTTCAAGTCTCAAAAACAGTGTATCTTGTAATACATTATCTAGACCGTCTATTTTTAAAATTTGTATATATTTGTAAATTTACTTGATTTGAACAATATATGGAGTTCAAAAATTTATAACTGGATATTAAACTAGATTCTCTAGCGATCCTAATGATTTTTTATATCCAAATTACATTTATACTAAAATTTGGAGGCACGGGCTTAATTTGATAGTTTAAGGTTGCAACCTTATACAAACCATACATATCTCAACGTCTAGAAACCAAGAGAATAATCAAAACATCCTTGTCATTTTAGTCATTTTGTTCTTTAAATGAGTATGTAAGGATGACAAATATTGATAGTCATGATTGGGGGCCCATCAGATGAACAAAAAATAATAAAATTAAAATACTTAAAAAGATCGATTGGTTAGAGCAAATACATATTTTATATTCGAAAATACTAGTTTCATTTTTATTTTTTTTCATTTATATTTCATTTAAACTAGTCATCCATTTGTATCGGAGATAAATGAAACATGAATAACAAAACTTTTAGACCCATCCCCATCCCAACCAAGTGAGACGTCCTCAACATACACCTACATGCGCACCACATGGGGTCCAAGTTGAGTTAAGCTAGACTTGGAGTGAAACTTCACTCCGAGTTAGGTTCAACCCTAGGCCCCAAACATGGACCTAGATCCCTTTGGAGTTCTAGACTCAACTAGCAAGTCCAATATTCAAGAGGATTGGCAACGCCCCAGATGCCCTAGCTCGACCAGTCTAATCTTAAGGGCTCGTCTAATTGACCCGGCCATAAACGACCCTAGCCGAGCTAGGCTTGGGCCAAGAGCCATGTAAAGGAATGCTTAAGCTCAGCCTGAACTAGGTTAGGACCAAGTTGGGTCACCTAACCAAGGGCCTAGGCCACGAGCCAGAGCAAACCAAGGCCCTAGGCCACGAGCCAGAGCAAACCAAGGCAGGGCCACCAAAGATCTAGGGCCAATCCACTGCCAATCCCAGTGCATCCAATCACAATTGATATAAAATTATGGACAAAATTTATATAGAGTGGAGGCTCCAAACAATCAAATTCAAGCATACCTCAAAAAATTTACTAAAAGAGGTTGTTTTGATGCCCAAATATCTTCAAATCGATCATCTCGACATCAAGATGCATGGACATGAGAAAAAAACAAAATTTTAAAATAGTGTATATTGCAACAAATCATCTAGACGATTCATTTTGCCTTAAAACTAAATGGTCCATATCGATATGATCTAGACATTTTATCGATATGATCTAGACATTTTTTGAGTTTCAAATTTTATTGTCAGCCTTGGAAATTAATTTTAGAGCTATCGTAAATATCTCCAATGCCGGAAGTGGTTTTTGTATGTGGATTTGAGGTTTATCTCTTTTAAAAAAGCCTGAGCCTTATAGAAACTTCATCCCACAATAAAATTTATAAAAAAATTTACGTAACAATATTTACTGGGAATTTACCGGGAAAAATTCCTGGTTGATATTTTATGCCAACCAAAAGTGCCCTAAATTATTGAATTTCCAACACAACGGATCGCCACATTTAGAGAACACTCCATTTGCAAACGAAGCTTTTAATATGTAGAGAGGGAGTTTTAGAGAGAGAAGAAATAGAAGGAGGAGCCGACCCGCACTGAGAGAGAGATGGGGGAGGTGGAAAGGGGTGAAGAGGCGGAGGCGCCACCGAAGCAGGTGGCGGTGGCGATGGAGCGGCTGGGGGACGCGGCCCGTCTCATTGCAGAAATTAGGCTTGGTGCAGATCGATTATTGGAGGCCATTTTCCTCACCTCTCTCTCTCCTCACCAGCAAAACACCACCACCACCACCATCACCACCACCACCACCACCACCACCACCACCACCACCACCACCAACAGCAACAATAAGAAGACTATCAGCAACAAGAAAGCTCTCCAACTTATCGCCAAAGAAGAGATAAACATGCGCCAGCATTTCCAGCACCTCCGCTCTCTTGGTTGGTTTCCCCCTCTCTCTAAGATCTCTTTCTCTCCCTAGGCTTCTTCTTGAACTTCATTTTCATTTTTTTTACACAGTGTTATACTGCATTTGATATGCATTCTCTTTGATACGTTAAATTTCTATTTCTTTTATAATTTATGTTTGGATTCTCATTGCCATTTGAGCTAATTTAATTTCTAGGGCTTCTTCCTCTTTAATGCATCACCCTCGACCGTTTGAGCTGATGCGTTATCTGGGGTTTCTCGTGTGTGTGTGAGAGAGAGAGAGAGAGAGAGAGAGAGAGAGAGAGAGAGAGAGAGAGAGAGAGAGAGAGAGAGAGAGAGAGAGAGTAGAAGAGTAGAGTAGTAGTAGTAGTAGTAGTAGTAGTAGTAGTAGTAGTAGTAGTAGTAGTAGTAGTAGTAGTAGTAGT